TGCGGACACAGTCTAAGAAGAAGACGTGGACCCCATGCGATGACCAGTTCCTGCACCACATCGAGGACCATGGGCTAACTTTAAGTTAGTTATAGAAAGCAAGAGAGGCTGTTAGGTTTAGGTTTAGATTAGGTAGTTAAGTTAATTTAGATTAAGTCATATGATGATATATCTTAAGATACACAGTGTTAGACACTCTAGCGATGTTAGCACTAAGGATCCGTAGAATAAGTAGCAGTAAGAAGTTTGTAAACTTAGCTGAAATAAATATGTTCCAACAGACAATTTTTAGGTATTTAGAACTAAGACGGAAATGGTACAGTGGTCAATTAATATCCATATTTGTATAAAGGACGATAGTTGAAAACTGAATACGACCCACAATTATTACTACCCAAATAAGTGTAAGTAAGTTTATTTTAGATTGAAAAAGAACATTACCCAAATTTTACTATGCAATTTACATTACCCCTCAGATAGAAATTATGCCAAATTAGACTAGTTACAATCACTTGATAGGGACCTACGTGTCGGTTTTACATAATATATATACATTTTTAAAAATTTTGTTAAATCTATTGGTTAATGGAACGCGAGTTCACAGCAGTATACGAATCGTTGGATTCGATAAAAACAAATTTACAAAACTTAAACTCGGATAATCGGAAAAAACCGGTTGCTCAAGTTCAAATTGAAGATGCTAAGAAGGTTTATGCGAAACTCAATACGGCAATAACTCAGTTCAATGAATTAACTAACACATCGCGCATATCCGAGGAGGAAATTTTATTAGTCAAAGAATTGGCAGATAAAAGCCAAAGCATTTATAGGGATATCACTGAGTTTAGTAAAAGTTTACAAAGCATTTATCCCAGCATGTCAGCTGTCGATTTAAAAACCGCCATCAGTTTGCTGCCAGTCTTGAAAGACACGGAGAGTAGCACAAACCAACTGATTGATGCTATCGAGCTGTATGAATCCGTGTTAACCGATGACGGAAAGAGACTGCTTATCAATTTTGTTCTAAAAACACGATTGTCCAGTAGTGCAAAATTAAGGTTAGAGCGGATTTATATCACGGTTGA